AGCTTCCCGAGGTGCTGCTCAGATCAACTGTGTGGCATCATGGAATTTATGTTCAGTCTGAGCCTGAGGCTGGGGAAAGTACCACAACTGTGGAAGACATCCTGTGTGGTACTGGTACCAAAAACCAAACATCCCAAGGACCTCAGTAACTACAGGCCGGTGGCACTGACATCACATTTGATGAAGACACTCGAGAGACTGTCCCTCAACCATTTGCGCCACCTGGTGAGGTCTTTGTTGGGTCCATTGCAGTTTGCCTACCGGCCTGGCATCTGTGCACTGAGGCTGCTCCTCCCTGTGGTGTGACGTTGCACGTTCGTGGTGAGACGTATTGTGTCATTTCCTGTTTGTCTGTCGGTAGCTCGAGTGAATTGTTTGCTCGAGTCGTCTCTGTTTTCTGGATTTATCTGTCTTTTGCACAGTTTTTCATTCTAGTTCACAAACACACTTAGTACAGTTGTTTATCTACTGTTGGATAGTGCTTAAAACACCTCTTATCTTTCAACACTTCTCGGTTTTTATTGGTGTATTTGGCTCTGCTAGCTCCTGCTAGCGTTAGCTTAGCATGGCTGCTGCTTTTCTCCCTGCTTCCTCTGTTTTCTCTTGCGCCATGTTTCAGATGTTTAGTTACTCCTCTGCCTCCTTTAGTGGTAGTACATGTAACAAATGTAGTCTTATGGTAGCTTTGGAGGAGAGGCTGTCTGAACTGGAAACTCGGCTCCGCGTTGTAGAAAAACCAGTAGCTTGCCAGGTCCCCTTAGACAGCGCGGAACCACAGAGGCTAGCTCCCGTTAGCGGTCTTCCAGCAGACCCCGAGCAGCCGGGACCCCAGGCCGGCTGGGTGACGGTCCGGAGCTAAGGCTAAGCCCCCAGTTCACCACTGACCCGTTCACGTTTCTAATCGATTTTCCTTGCTCAGTGACACACCCGCTGAGGAGCAGACCCTGGTTATTAGAAGCTCCATAGTCCGAAACGTGGCTTTAGGGACTCCAGCGGCCATAGTCAAATGCATTCCGGGGGCCAGAGTGGGTGACATAGAATCTTATTTGAAACTGCTGACTAAGGCTAAATACAGTAAGATTGTTATTCATGCCGGCGGTAATGACACCTGGTTACGCCAATCGGAGGTCACTAAAATTAATGTTGCTTCGGTGTGTGACTTTGTTAGTTAATGAACTGATCATCATATTGATTTATTCTGTCTGACAGAAACTTGGCTACAACAGGAGGATTTCGTTAGTATAAATGAATCCACTCCTGTTAATTATTTAAATTTTCATGTTCCTAGAATAACTGGCCGAGGTGGAGGAGTAGATTCTATTTTTCAGTCAGGATTATTGATTAATGCCAAGCCAGTTATTAGTTATGATTCTTTTGAATCACTGTCCCTCAGTCTTTCTCATCCAAAATGGAAATCAGAAAAGACACTTTTACTAGTTGTTATATATCGTCCACCAGGCGCTTACTCTCAGTTTTTGTCTGAATTCTCAGAAATATTAACTGACTTACTATTAAATACTGATAAAATCATCATAATGGGTGATTTCAATATTCATGTGGATGTTGAGAGTGATAGCTTAAGCATAGCCTTTAATAATTTAATAGACTCATTTGGTTTTACCCAAAACGTCCGCACATCTACTCATTCTTATCATCACACTCTTGATTTAGTTCTGACCTATGGTATAGAGATTAAGGACTTGGTAAAAGTTCCTCAAAATCCTATTCTGTCCGACTATTTTTTAATGACCTTTGAGTTTACATTAAATGACTACACAGTCACTGAGAGTAAATTTCATCTCAGCAGGCGCTTATCAGAAAATGCTGTAACCAAATTTAAACAATCTCTTCCATCAATCTTTTCCTCTGTCTTGCAGAGTAATGCATCAGAGAACAGTGACTTAGATCATCTAGTTGATCATTTTACAACTTCAATGCAAACTTCACTTGATAAAATTGTTCCACTGAAAAAGAAAGTAATCAATCAGAGGAAACTGGCTCCTTGGTTCAATTCTGAGTTACGTACTTTAAAGCAGGCATCTAGAAACCAGGAGAGAAAATGGCGCTCTACTAATGTTGAAGAATTTTATTTAACTTGGAAAGATAGTCTGCTAACATATAAAAAAAGCTCTCCGTAAAGCTAGAACTATATATTACTCATCTTTAATAGAGGAGAATAAAAATAACCCTAGGTTTCTGTTTAGTACTATTGCTAGACTAATTAAAAGTCCAATTTCTGTTGAACCATGTATCCCTGCAACTAGAAGTAGTGATGACTTCATGAGATTCTTTATAAATGAAATTATTTCAATTAGAGAGAAATTTCAAACCATCCTTCCTTCTACTATCTCTAGTCCCCTGTCAAATGAGGCAACTTTAAAAATTTCACTAGAGCCTGATTTATGTTTGGACAGTTTTTGTCCTGTTGAGCTCTCTGAATTGTCAAAAATAATAACTTCATCCAAACCATCCACATGCCTGCTAGATCCCATCCCAACCAGACTGTTTAAAGAGGTATTTCCCCTTATTAATGTCCACATTTTGGATTTACTTAATTTGTCTTTAATGGATGGTTATGTACCACAGCGCTTTAAGGTTGCTGTAATTAAACCTTTACTTAAGAAGTCTGATCTTGATTCAGAAATTCTGGCCAACTATAGACCTATATCTAATCTAACTTTCATCTAAAAAATTCTAGAGAAAATAGTTGCAGGTCAGTTGCGTGAACATCTACAAAGAAATAATCTGTTTGAAGAGTTTCAGTCAGTGTTTAGAGCTTATCATAGCACAGAAACAGCACTAGTAAAAGTCACTAATGATATTCTCATGGCCTCAGACAATGCACTTGTGTCTATACTGGTCCTGTTAGACCTCAGTGCTGCATTTGATACAGTTGATCACAATATTTTACTACAGAGGCTTGAATATGATATTGGAATTACAGGAACAGCTCTAAAATGGTTTAAATCATATCTATCTGATAGATTCCAGTTTGTAAATGTAAATAATAAATCTTCTTCATACACCAAAGTTAGTCATGGAGTTCCTCAGGGCTCAGTGCTTGGGCCAATACTCTTTACTTTATATATGCTTCCATTAGGTAAAGTTATTAAACAGCATGGAATAAATTTTCATTGTTATGCTGATGACACACAATTATATTTGTCCATTAAACCCAATGAATCCAATCAGCTACTTAGACTACAAGCATGTCTTAAAGACATAAAAACCTGGATGACCCTCAATTTTCTCCTGTTGAACACAGACAAGACTGAGGTTTAGGTTTTTGGACATGAGCACCTTCGGAATTAATTTTTCAGTTTTTCTCCCTCCTTAGATGGCATTAATCTGTCCTCCAGCTCTAATGTTAAAAATCTTGGTGTTATTTTTGATCAGGACATGTCTTTTATCCCCCACATTAAAAACGTTACTAGAACTGCCTTCTTCCACCTGCATAATATCGCTAAAATTAGAAACATCTTATCTAAAAATGATGCAGAAAAACTGGTCCATGCATTTGTCATGTCTAGACTGGACTATTGCAATGGTTTATTATCTGGATGTCCAAATACGTCTTTAAAACGTCTTCAGTTGATCCAAAATGCTGCTGCCAGAGTCTTAACTGGAGTTAGTAGGAGAGATCATATTTCTCCAGATTTAGTTTCTCTCCATTGGCTCCTTGTCAAATCCAGAATAGAATTCAAAATCTTACTTCTAACATACAAAGCTCTCAACAACCTAGCTCCATCTTATATTACAGATCTTATTGTTCCATGGTTTCCTAACAGAGCACTTCGCTCTCAGACTGCAGGTTTACTTGTGGTTCCTAGAATTTACAAAAACAGAATGGGAGGCAGATCTTTCAGTTATCAGGATCCTCTCTTGTGGAACCAACTTCCAATCTCTGTCCACGAGGCTGACACATTATCCAGTTTTAAAACTAGGCTTAAGACTTTCCTTTTTGCTAAATCCTATAGTTAGGGTCGGCTTGGGGTTCCTGAGCTGTCCCTTAGTTATGCTGCTATAGGCTTAGACTGCTGGAGGACAAACTGACCTCAATTTTCACTCTGCTACTGTCTTTACTTACTCTGCTCAACCTGTTTTGTATTTGTAATTATTTTTTCTATCCTTAACATGTGTTCTTTTGTCTTTCAGATACACCTGGACCTATACCTGCACCTACCATTCTGTGTTCGTCTGTCTCTCCTTCCTGTCCTCTCAACCAGCCAGTCAAAGCAGATGGCCGCTTGTCCTGAGCCTGGTTCTGCTGGAGGTTTCTTCCTTTTAAAAGGGAGTTTTTTCCTTTCCACTGTTGCCATTGTGCTTGCTCAGGATGGAAGCCAAGATTCAACTTGTCTGCTGGATTCCTTAGATAGAGAACTTTAGTACTTGTCTGCTGGATTCCTTAGATAGAGAACTTTACTAATTGGCTTTTATGTATGTGAATGTTTCTGTAAAGTGCCCTGAGACAATTTGTTGTGATTTGGCGCTATATAAATAAACTGAATTAAATTGGATGACGCCATCATCTACCTCAGGCACCAAGCTCTGACCCACCTGGAGAAACCTGGAAGCACCGTGAGGATCATGTTCTTTGATTTCTCTAGTGCTTTCAACATCATCCAGCCAGGACTACTTCGGGACAATCTGTAGTTATCAGGAGTGGATCACCACATGTCCCAGTGGATACTGGATTACCTCACTGGACGCCCACAGTATGTGTGGACACAGGGCTGTGTCTCTGACATGCTGGTCTGCAGTACGGGGGTCCCACTGGGAACTGTGCTGGCACCGTTCCTCTTCACCCTCTACACTGCAGACAACTCCCCACACTGCCATCTGCAAAAGTTCTCTGATGACTCTGCCATTGTCGGCCTCATCACAGGTGAGGATGACTCAGAGTACAGACAGCGTACTCAAGACTTTGTGGACTGGTGCCAGCAGAACAACCTCCTGATCAACGCTGCTAAAACTAAGGAGCTGGTGGTGGATTTCCGCAGGCACAGACCCACCTCACTGACCCCGGTGAACATCCAGGGTGTGGACATCGAGATCGTGGACTCTTCCAAGTACCTGGGTGTTCACCTGAACAATAAACTGGACTGGTCTTACAACACTGATGCACTTTACAGGAAGGGTCAGAGCAGACTCTACCTGCTGAGGAGACTGAGGTCTTTTGGAGTGCAGGGGGTGCTCCTGAAGACCTTCTTTGACTCGGTAGTAGCATCAGCCATCTTCTATGGTGTTGTGTGTTGGAGCAGCAGCTTATCATCAGCTGAGAAGAAGAAGCTAGATAAGCTCATCAAGAAGGCCAGCTCGGTGCTTGGATGCCCCCTCGACCCAGTGCAGGTGGTGGGAGACAGAAGGACTCTAGCTAAAATAACATTGTTGGACAACGTCTCCCACCCCATGCATGAAGCTTGCTGAACTGGACAGCTCGTTCAGTGACAGATTACTGTATCCTAAATGCACAAAGGAGCGTTACCGCAGGTCCTTCCTCCCAGCAGCTGTTAGACTCTACAACCATCACTGCTCCCAACAAACTCAATAAGGATTAAATACATGCTGACCTCTGCTAAAGTACACACTCTGCCTATAATACTGTACTGTAAATAGTCTGCCATTCTCAATGTTCCAATACATATTGAACATTATTATTGATATTGTTTATCTTATTTCTTATATATTGTATTGTTTATTAACATTTAGGGAACTTTTGTGTGAAATCTTTTTATCTTTTTATCTGTTGCTGCTGTTGCTGCTGTTACACTTGCATTTCCCATCCGTGGGACAATAAAGGCTGTTTCTATTCTTTCTTAGCACTCAGAGCCTTTAACAGCCCCTCTCTGAATTTCTCACAACATTCTTCCTTCTTCAGATTCCACCATTTGGTCTTCTTTTCTCATTTTACTATTTTTCTCTTCTTCACAACAGCAGTCATTCTACACACAATCATCCGATGCTGTCTGGCCATGCTCTCCCCTCTCACAACCTTACAGTCCTCAATCTCCCTCAGGTTTTCTCTTCTACACAGAATGTAGTACTCATTCCTCCACTCTTATAGGTCACGCTATGTTCCTTCCTCTTTTGAAAATAAGTGGTGACTACAGCCATTTCCATTCTCTTGGCAAAATCCCCCACCATCTGTCCTTCCTGGTTTCTTTCCTTGACAGAAACGTACCCATCACTTCCTCATCCCCTCTGTTTCCTTCACCAAGATGTCCATTCTGGTCTGCTCCGATCACCACTCTCCTCCCTGGGAATATTCTCTATCACTTCATCCAGATCTTTCCAAAATGTGTCTTTCTCCTCTGCATAACCACTAACAACATTTAGCATCAGACCTTCTACTTATACCTTCAGGCACATCACCCTATCTGACACTCTTTTTCTTCTACTACATTCTGTGCTAACTTCTCCTTCAGGACCACCCCTACTCCATTTCTGTTTTTGTCCACACCATGGTAAAACAGTTTAAACCCTGATGCAATGCTGTGAGCCTTGCTGCCCTTCCACTTGATCTCTTGGACACATAAAACATCTACCTTCCTTCTCTGCATCATGTCAGCCAGCTCTCTACCTTTGCTTGTCATTGTCCCCACATTTAGAGTTGCCACCCTCAGTCCTACATTCTTGACTTTCCTCTTCTCCCTCTGTCTCCTGACACGTTTCCTTCCTCCTAATCTTCAAAGGAAAGTTTTTTGATATGAAAGAAATACAAGTAGACCAGATCAATTCCCTATTAAGGTTATCTGAAGCAACAGAAAATGTTCAAGAAAAGGATGGAAACATTAATTATAGTTGTCCATCTACGTCATTGGAATGCTAGAAGTTTAACAGCCTATGGACAAGAGCTGAAAAGCTATAACTAGACACAACAGCAAATGTAATTTGTGTTCAAGAGACTTTGTTAAAATCTATGTTATATTTCACATTTCCAGGATACACTTCAGTAAGAATTTGTGGAGTACTCATTGTAGTTCATACTGCAATAAAGTTGATGGAAGAATAAGATGTAAAGTTAAGAAATCTTTGTTAGGCAGATAATAATAGGTGGCTGCCTTACTAGGCAGTGCCCATCTACAAAATGTCTGGTCAGTGTTTAAGATTAAAGAATTAGAGTTAAAATGGCAGCACTGGTTACAAATCAGGACATAACGGTGTTAAAGAAAGATAAGACTGATATTCTGGGTGAAATGTTTGTTGTAGTAAACAGTGGGGAACATCTCAGAAATGTACACAGGCAGCAGAAAGAACATAAACTCAAAGAATTTAGTGATGTAGGAAAGAAAAAAGGAAGTTCAGCATCAGCATTAGATGAATAAATAAATATGAAAGAACTAAAAACAGTAATAAAAGGTACAATATATTCAGGGAAAGACAAACTGCCATGTTCTGTCAGCTTCCTGAACTTGTTAAATTTAGTTCTGAAACTCTGATAAAATATGGAGGCAAAAACCAACGCAGACATGTTTCTGTTTTTAATATTTTACATCGCTTTATAATTAGCCGTTTTTGATTAGTTTTTATTTAATCTATTTACTGTTCATTTTATATGTTTTATATGATTGTCTATTGTTGTCTGTACCTCAAGTTCAAGTGCTTAGTCATATTCAAGGTTAACAGTGCAATGAAATGTTCAGGATGAGAAGAGCTGATTTGACTCACTAAAAACAAAGAACAAACCTCGTCTATGTTCTTTGTTAAAACAGGTCTCTCTTGTAAATGAGTCCTCGAAGCTCAAAGAGACTAACCTGTGTAAATAAAGGTTGAATGGATGGAGAGAAGGTACTATTCCAAATAGGTGGAAAAGGGCAAAAAAAATTTCCATTTAATAAGCCAGGGATGGATCCTTCAAACCTGAATAATTATACGCCGATAGCTTTAACATCCCACACGTGTAACTGGATGGAGAAAATATTAGTCAATAGATCATTAAGGTTCATGCTCAAACATCCAGGTAAAAAAAATCCAACAATGAGCATGGACCTTGATGTCTTGAACCACTTTGGCTGTGGCAGCTTGGTAGGAGTCGACGGGGGAGAGGACAGCCCCTAGAAACCATCTTATCACCAGCAAACTGTAGGAGTGTACTGCGGAAAACAGTTTGTTTGGGACTTCTCAGACTGATGAAGTCCTTCGGCTGGAGGGCGAAACGTCTCTCAACAAAAAAAAAAAAACTATCCAGATGACCTGACTGAACATTGTTGTATTGGTCAATAGATTGTTTATCCTGGAACAAAGAGAGCTTGTTGGTGATTAGCAGTGTGGGTTCAGAACAGGTCGGTCAGCATTAGATGCACTAGTTAGTGTAAAGTGTTTATGTTTCTGTGAATCTTTTCCTACACATACAGTACAACTCTTGTACACTTGTGCGACTACTTTTGAGACTAATTGATCTTGATGAAAATGAACTTCCTGCAGAGTGTCTGGACTGCCAATCCTTTGAACATCTTGCTTTGTGGTTGCCTCCTGAGAGAGGTGTTATAACACGCCGTCCTGGACCTAGGCCTCGGGGCTGACCCAGACCTGCTGGAAAGATGGCTTGAATGTCTTGACCCTCCAGATAACTCAAGAGGGACTGATGTTTGGGGATCTTTTCTGCAGCACTAGCTTGGCTAAATGTCTAAAGATGAGTGAGTTGATGTCAGGATAGTTTAGTTGTGCTCCCTCTAGTTTTTAATGACACTCAGCCCTTTCAGCCTGATGACTGACATGATCTTTTCCATTAAGACATTGTGTCTGAGCTGCTTTCTTTAGACATCTCTCTTTCCATGCAGTTATGGAGGAATGTTGTCTGCCTATATGAGACTCCGATATCCCAACATTGTAGCTGGAGCTCTGGCAGCCAGCGCCCCCATCCTGTCCACTGCTGGGCTCGGAGACTCGAGACAGTTCTTCCAAGATGTTACAGCCGTGAGTCAGCCTTCTCTTAGAGCCACAGAGGCATTTTCATTTGAGGAGATTGTAAAAGGAAAAACATGGTCCCTGCAAATATCTCACTTTTTTACATTGGAAAATGTTTTTGTACCCTCAGGACTTTGAGAAGTTTGCGCCTGAATGTAGAGATGCTGTGAGAGGAGCTTTCAATCGGCTGAAAGAACTAGCTGATCACAAAGGTAAACCTCAAAGCTGAGATCATTGGGGTCATTCGTCAAACAACAAGGTGATCTAACTGGTGTAAAGAGAATCTTTTCTGTTGTTCTGCTGGAGCCAGATTACAGACGCATCCAGGCAGGATTTTCCCTGTGTCAGCCTCTATCGTGTGAGCGGGACGTGCACCAGCTCTACGGCCTGCTGAGGAACGCCTTCACCCTCATGGCCATGCTGGACTACCCTTACAGCACGCAGTTCATGGGCAACATGCCCGCTAACCCCGTCAAGGTAAAGCGATTGCCGAAGAGAAACACCCAACTCTCGTGTTAGAAAGGCTAAGTGTACGACAGAAAAACTGCAGTTTGTGAGTAGGCCTGTCACGATATACAATAAATTGCATGATAAATGAAAATTAGAAACCTCATTTTCATTTATCAGCTTTGTCATTTCTTCATGCCTCTCTCTTTCTACTGAACACACTGGATGACAAAAAGCTCAACTCCGGTGCTCTTCACTGACCCCTCCCTTTCTCTTTTCTCTTTAAAATCTGTTTAACCATCCAAAATCATGTTTTTGGATTGTTAAAAACAGCTAAGCCGAGAAGCTAAGCTATGAGCTAAGCTAACAGGCCGACCTCGGGGAAAAAAACCTCCGTCTTGTTGAAGCTCCAAAATTCACGTTTGAAACTTGTGCCTTTGTGTAAAAACCTAAAAAAGTTAAATCTGGTCCTCTGGACATTCAAAAAAAATTCCTGGACAGAGAGGAACGATGGTTTGAGAGAGGAGTAAAGGAGGCCATCTTTGTGAAAAGAAATCGTCCATCGTTAAACAGGGGTGGAGGCCTCCGGGTTCAACTGTCCCCCTCTTACAATGCTGTGATTGCTAGTATCACTCAGCCCTCTGTGAACAGTATACAGCCATCAGTGTGCTAATGATCCATTGTTAGGCTGATGGTCCTTCTTGAGCATGTGATCAGCTGGTTTTGGTTGTCAGCAGCAAAACTGGTTGATCCACTCTGAGACGGTGCTATTTAAGAGACTGAGCTGAATACAGCTCCTCAGACTTAGGAAGTCTCTCGGATGAGAGATGAAACGTTTCTACATTTTTTTGTTGATTTGCTTTGTTTTGTTTTTTTGAATGTCCAGAGGACCAGATTTAACTTTTTTAGATTTTTCTACCTGGATTATTGAGCATGCATCAGGATACTTTGTGTAAAAAGTTGATTTTCTCTGCAAATAGAAGCTGAGAAGTTTTTTTTTTTATTTTTATTAAAAGCTTTGTGTGAAAAATGTTATGCTAAAGAGCTCAAACCACACCGAGCATCCACCATTTTGAGAACTGAAAAACAGGAAGGAGGGACAGCCCATGTCACGTCAAGGGGCCTCCCTCCCATTTTTCTTAAAGAGACACGCTGCTCTCTCCCTTACTATCCATCCTTCGGTTCAAACAGTCTTATACTGCCATCCAATGGTCAAACAATGGTAATAAACTCCAAACTGAATGAATGAAAAGAATTAATGAATGAAAAATACACTCAAACAAATTAACCAACATTTCTTCTTAAATTTGACTATAATTACTAATTATTGTCAAATTTCAAACCGCTGTGGCTGAATGGCTAGAGCAGTCGTCCTCCAATGTGAGAGTTGGAGGTTCGAATCTACTAGCAGTCACATGTCGAAGTGTCCCTGGGCAAGACACTGAACCCCTCATAGCCTCTGATGTGTGTCCCATCAGTGTATGAATGTGATCTAAAACATTAGCACCGATTAGTCTCTTTAGAATAATTTGTTCAATTAGCTTTGTAGAAATCTAGTAGAATGCTGTATGAATGGGTAAATGAGGGCACAGATTGTAGTGTAAAGCGCTTTGAGTATCTTGAAATAAGATGGAAAGGCGCTATATAAGTACAGTCCATTTACAGTCCATTTATTATTGTTTATCGCAATAATTCCTGAGACAATTAATCGCCCAGCAAAATTTGTTATCGTGACAGGACTAGTTGTGAGTGCATGAAGCTCAGCACAGCTTCTTGTCATGGTGCAGCACAGTGAGGAAGTCTCAGCGTAAGGGCCTGGAACAGATGTGTACAACAGGAAATGCTAACTGATGCCAGATGTTCAGCTTTTTGTTTTGTCAGATGAGAACCCTTCCTGAAGAGACAGACGAGTATGGCCAATGTTTGTGCATCGTTGTCTCCGTCCACCTGGTCTGGTGTCCCTGTCACATGAGGACAGACATGTTTGACTGGAAGGACAGTCTTTATTGGTTAATATTTAGTTTCAGTCATTCGTCAGGCTAAATTTGGACTGGCTGTTGTGGATTTTAGGATGTCTTCCTGTAAGTTCTGCTGCTCCTGAAGTTCACGGCCGCCCACAGATCCTGAAGTTCACGGCCGCCCCACAGATCCTGAAGATCACGGTCACCCCGCAGATCCTGAAGATCACGGCCGCCCCGCAGAGAGCTTTTTGTTCTCCAACATTTTGTTTGATGGAGGAAAGGGTTGCCGTCCATCTTTAACCACCAAGGACTTTGTTCTGTAAAGTTTAGGCTCAGAGTAATCCTGTGTAGAGACGACTGTCTGCAGTGTCTCCCATGAACCCAGAGAACCCATGTCTTTTAACATGCACAGGGTCTACTCGTTCTACTGTCAGTCATGGCTGACCAGGTCATTGTGCCTGTCTTGTTAACGATCCAGTTATATGATAACATGGCCTGCCATACATCCACCAGCCACACGCGACCATTTCACTGCGAGCTGACCGGCTTTGAAAGAGGTAAAAATTCAGTTAAACTTCAGATGGGACTGTACTGCCAGGAAGCAACCCATTGCCCAAATGGACGTTCATTCAGCTGCTGCACTCAGCGGACGCGCGTGGCCAACAACCTAAATGGGTGAAATCCCAAAGCAGACCTCTCAGAGCGGTCCGTGTCTGAATAAATCAGAATGAGGCAGAAACCGGGTTTAAATGCTCTTTTACAGCCATGAAAGAACAAACACCCCCTCAGCTCCGATCTTATGCACCTTTCAGCTGTGCATCCACGACGACAGGTGCATCCCAAAGTAGACGTGTGTCATAGCTGTCCACGTGGCTCAGTAATTCAGAAGAATACAGCAGAAAAATTGTTTAAATTAACAACAAAGTCCATGTTCAATAATCAAACAATCCAACATTTTTCAGTCGGGCCATCTGGACAGTTTTTTTTTGTGTGTGGTGAAACGTTTCACCTTCCATCCGAAAGGCTTCATCAGTCAAAGAAACGCACAAAACAAAACTGATTCTTTCCCCAACAGCTTACTCCAAAGTGGAACAAACCAGTTATGTTGGTGCTAAGATGGTGTCTTTGGCACGCCCCCTCCTCTGTTGCCGGCCCTCTTCCTCGTCGACAATCATGTCAAAGTGGTTCAAAACAACAAAGTCCATGCTCAATAATCCAGGTATGCAATCCAACAATTTTCAGTCAGGTCATCTGAACAGTTTTTTTTTTTTTTTCTGAAATGTTTCACCTTCCATCCGAAAAGCTTCATCAGTCAAGGAAACGCACAACATAAAACTGATTCATCCCCCAACAGCTTACTCCAAAGTGAAACAAACTTATGCCCCTTTTCCGTTAGTACCGGTACGGGCCGACTGGACCCTACTTGGCCCGGTTCCGAGGCTTTTCCATTAGTACCGGTACTTAGCACCTGTTACTATTTTCAGTACCCTTGGCTTTGTGGTTCTAACCCGAACGAAGAGGTACTAAAATGTGTCGTCAGAACACTGTCGGTCACTGATTGGTCGGGGGCGCAGTCACTGGATCCTTCAGAAACTTTTCAAAACAATGATTCGCCATTTGCAATTTCTCAGACTGGAGCAGCGGCTGGACTTATTTTAAAGATTTTAAAAACAATACTGACAACATCTTGGTCTAATGCTGATGTGCTGGTGTTTTTTGTGCTTGGTGGCCTACAACATAATTCAGAGCAAGCTGAATGGAGCTCTGCTGATGTACCCCGATCCTCCCCCCGGAGCCTCGGAGCGCCAGGCCGGGCAGGGCGTCATCTCCCCGGCTCCGAGTTCCACTGGTCACCGCGGAAGATCCTTCGATGTGCCGACTCGGAGGCTCAGGTTCCGGATACCAGCCTTGTGTGCTCAGATCTCTGCTGGTCACTGCGAAGCTGGAGATGGGGACTCGCTGATGGCTGTTGCGAGACCCCGGCCGCGCGTAATCATGAAGGCTGAATCCTGATCCCACCCGGCAGTCAGGCGGACTGGACAGTCTGGGACGGACGGTGGAAGCGATTTTTAAATAAAATTATATTTTGTTTTTATACAAAAAATGTTTTAAAAAATTGCTGAAGCGATTAAAAATTATTATTATTTTTTTTACACGTAAAATGTTTTTTAAAATCGCTTCCACCGTTAGTCACAGACCCGTCTCTGTCCGCCTTTCTGCGCGTGTCAGGCCATCATGATTACACGCGGCTGGGGTCTTGGAACGGCCTCTGCGAGTCACCAGCTGAGCTCGGAGCTGGGAAGATGAGCCTGCCCGTCCTGTCTCCGGAGGAGAGGATCGTGTGAGACCAGCAGAGCTGGTCATAAAAAATAATTTTTATATATATTTTTTAGCGTTGAAGATTAAAAAAATAATAAAATAAACGGTGCCAGCTTCATCATGAAATCCTGTTTTCACTTTAATGACTGTTAACTCAGCTGAAAATCACAAAAAGACACAAAACTATTGGATCTCAGGAATATTTCCCTCAAACATGCTTAAAGAAAAGAGACAACCTTCAGTTCAACTTTATTTTAACCCACAAATGTACAAATCACAAAACAGGAACTTTAAAGCAAAGTTAAAAATAAAATGTATATATGTGAACAAGAAAGAAAACCACACATCTAAAATGAACATTAAAAGTAGACACAATGAATGCAAATACATCAAATGATGATGAAAACCTATAAAAATTTAGATGTTTTTGTAGAATCTGGTTCATCAGATATTTAATTTATATACATATATATTTTTATCTATAACTACATATATATGAATATATATATACATATATGTGTATACATATGTGTGTATATATGTGTATACATATGTGTATATATATATATATATATATATATATATATATATATATAGTGTGTGTGTATATATGTATATATATATATATATATATATATATAAGAGGAGAATATATAATTTTTTATAGGAAGAGCAAGGCCATTCAGAGCTTTAAAAACAAATAATAAAAGTTTAAAATCTATTCTAAAACGGACAGGGAGCCAATGTAGT